AAGAGGGCAAAAAGACTATAGATTCTATTACGAAAATCAAGATTTTTGCATTTTTTGCCGTCGCATTGTTTTGAAACTTATTCGGTCAAATTTTATGGTAAAGAGAAACGTACCGCGAAGATTTTGAGCATATATATGATTGAATTGGATGAAAACTCGCAAAATTATCCAGCGATAAAAGTTCGTGTGAAATGGTCAGTTGGTCAGTTGGATCGTTTTATTGCCAGAAATACTGTGCTATGTTTTAACATTTAGTCTTGTGAATGGTGTTTTATACTTGCATCTTTCATCATCATCTGCTCTGTCCTCATAATTATGAAAAATGAACTGTTATGTACCCCCCCCCCCTCCTTGCTTGTTAGAGAAGTAAACTGATGAGAGCACTGGATAAGGGTCTATCACCTATGGTCTGTTATAATTTGCTTTCCATGCAAATAGTGAGCAAAAATTAAAGCAAAACTGTACAAGTTACATATATTGTACTATATCAGTACTATACACGAACTTTTATCGCTGGATAATTTTGCGAGTTTTCATCCAATTCAATCATAAATATGCTCAAAATCTTCGCGGTAAGTTTCTCTTTACCATAAAATTTGACCGAATAAGTTTCAAAACAATGCGACGGCAAAAATGCAAAAATCTTGATTTTCGTAATAGAATCTATAGTCTTTTTGCCCTCTTGTACCGCCATCTTGGATTTATCATGTAGGCCCCGCCTGCGCTAGGTATGCGTTAGCAATCTAGATCTCCTATATCTATGTTTAAAACAGCTTAACTGGTTACCAGTCAATTATATGTTGCGATTCCGAAATACAGTAATGGCTTATAAATGTGTTAATGGTATGGCCCCATCATATTTATGTCGTATGTTCCAAACAAGATCACAATTACACAATTTGAACACAAGATCTAGCGAATTATTGGAAATACCTTTATATAGAACAGCGACCGGACAACGTTCTTTTCGCTACCGAGCTTCTTGTTTATGGAACAGTTTGCCAGAATGGCTAAAAGACCATAATCTTAATTTGGAACGTTTTAAAAGCGGGCTACGAAGTTATTTGGTTCAACAATTTCTCGATGAACAGAACTGAATTACATCTTTTACTGACTAAATTTTAAATTAAATAGTATTAATAAGTATTTTATCTTAAATATAACTAGCTTGATATTATGTATTTTGATGTTAATAGTATATTATATAGTTTTTAGAATATAATTTAATTAAGTAATTACTTTTTATAACTTCTGTATTGAACACTGAAAAACCCTTCTGGGAGTGTTTAACATTAATAATAATAATATTCAAATCTATTGTTATTTATACGATCTTGGATTGCATACGCTTCTTCAGTTTGGGCGTAATGACTACGCCCAAAACGTACCATTTTCGAGTTTAAGTGATAGTGAGTTTAATGCTTTGAATAATGCTATGTCCAGGGTGAATTGGATTTGGATGCTGATTTATTGAACATATTACCTAACCCTGACAAATCAGATGAAAATTATTCTGACCATATGTTAACGAATGTATGTTCTAATCAGTACTACTCTGCTGAAAAGGTTAATAAGGTTCTTGATACAGCAGGTCCAAAGGCATTTTCATTTTTCCATTCTAACATAAGAAGCTTGCCAAAAATTTTTGATTTGCTTAGGGACCATTCATTACTTATGACCTGGGGTGGGCTGGCAAAAAAAGGGGGTGGGTCATGAGGTATTTTTGACTGAAAAGGGGGGGGCACTTAAAAATATTAGTTCAGAAGGGGGGGGGTCCAGTTATTTATTATAGTGGAGAAAAATTTGACATGTAACGATTATTGCTACCACAGGGAGCGAGCAAAGCAGCAAATTTAATTCATGTATATAGCTAGCAAAATTCTGAATTTTAATCAACAGATAGACCCAAAATGCAATGCACAAATACCCAAAATGCAATGCGCGCAGCTAATACGAAAAATAATCGAACATCTACCTTTATAACTTTTGCCATGGACTTGCCATAAATTTTTGTCATATTCCAATTATGTACATTTTAATAAAAAAGATAATTAGAGTAAGTGATGTAGCAACATTACGTCCAGGGAAAGTTTGGCATATCATAGTTTATACTAGGTATTTTATACATGGTTTAATTTAGTAAGGAGTTTGTTGGTTTGTTGTCAGTCAAGTCCGAGTCAAATCCAAGCCTGAGTTAAATGTTCGGGTCACCAGCTGTTTAGCGGTCTTTGTAGTTCATTGACGTAGTGCCCTGTACCCTATTCCTAACCCAGGGCCGTAGCAACCGCTAATCATTCTTTTTCCAAAATCATGCAGATCATTCTTTTTCATTCTCATTCATGCTAATCATTCTTCTTCCAAAATCATGCAGAATCATTTAAATAATATACCTTTAAACTAGTATACCTATCAGTTGTAAATGCTGACTTGCCTCTTAATTTGAAGATATATCAAAAACGGTCTCATCTTTCCATATTACTGTCGATGCAATGGAAGTGCTGATAAAATATTGCATGAATTCATTTCCTTAAGTTGATCAATTCATACAAATTCAAATTTCTTTTTACTTCCTGTGCGTTTCCTATTGGTCAATCGGTTCTGAAACGAATTCTAATTGGCTCATTTACAGGTAAACTACGTGAAGCGTTCCTCTTTTGACTTCGTAACTCATTTGGAATTTTCCTCATTAGCTTTGCAAATTTGAAAAACTCTTTGCAAATCCCTTGAGGGAATTTGCAATGTTCCTATCGGCTGTTGCAGTATTCCAAACTTCATTTTAAATTTTCCTAACTTCCTGTTTTAATTTCCTAACTTCCTGTTCTGTTCTGAGCGTTGTTATTGGTCGATTATTTTTGTTAGCCAATTACAGCACGCAGAACAGAACAGGAAGTTAGGAACTTGTAACAGGAAGTTAAGAACTTCTAACAGGAAATGAGGAAATTTTTTTGGCTTTTAGCAACATTGCAAATTCCCTCAAGGAATTTGCAAGGGAGTTTTTTAAATTGCAAAAGTAATGAGAAAAATTGCAATCAATTTAGAAACTCAAAAGAGGAACGCTTCACGTAGTTTACCTGTAAAAGTAACAGGAAGTTGATCAATTTTCTATCAAATGAATTGATCAACTTGTGGAAAGGAATTGGTGCAATATTTTATCAACACTTCCATTGCATCGACAGTAAACAACTTCAGTTTAAGTACCATCGTACGCTCCTAACACGTCGTAATTAACTGTAAGCTCAACCGTAACTTAATCGTTGTGACGTCATCATTGTAAATATTATATTTCTTTCATCTTGACCGTAATGACAACCCATCCCTAACCCTGACTTTATTGTGCGCGAAACGCGAGAAACTATAACCATAAACTATATAATTCTTAATCTTATTATATTCTACCCTCTAATATCTGTGACATCAGAACAACAATAGTATGGAAACTTGTACCCATTTTTGGAACCTTTTCACTAGACCACAATATCAGCCAATAATTATTTTGGACCACACAGATTATTAAATGCTTTAATTACACAACACCGATACACTGTATCACTAATTAAAGACCATGCATTCAAACTATCACAAGACCACAACTGTACAGTGAGTGCGGTACAGTATCCAAAACACGAGCAGCGAGTGTTTTATCAGATTCAAAAGACAAGAGAGCAGCTCGAGTATGTTATATCTGATAAAGCTTGTTTTTCACAAGCGAGTTTCTTCGCGCGAAGCGAAATTTTTATTGTTAAAATTGAAAAACATTTGTTAAAAATCTAACTAGTTCCAGCCGAGAGCTTATAAGACAAAAGATTCGCGCGACAAGTTTTAACTAGTACTTAAACGTAAAAGCCTGATCCACATACAGGGTGTCCCAAAAAAACTGAAAACGATTGAAATATCGTATTTTTAGAATTTGAATGCCTCAGCACTCTGCTGAACCCACAAGTGCATAAAAGCTTGACATAAGTAAATTTTACGCATAAAGAAACTCAGTTTTTAACAAAAGCTGCTTTAAATTCCCAAGAGCACCCTGTCAATATTTTCCGCATTTTTGCGTTCAGCTTAACGGCACTTAGCGCTAGGGCATCCAATCACAAACTGAGAATGTACAGGGTGTATAAAAAAAACTGAACCCCTTCAAATTCAAATTAGCTAAACGTATTGTAGTAATTTGATGATCTTGTCTAAAAGTACATACGAGTGACCACGAATGACCACGAGTGACCACGAATGACCACGAGTGACCACGAGTGACCACGAGTGACCACGAATGACCACGAGTGACCACGAGTGACCACGAGTGATTTCTGCGTTTAAAGGTCATAAAATAATAATAAAGAACTATTTTAAGGTGGCTCCATAGGGTTTTTTCATTATACTACACTTTTGTATCCAGAAAACTCCTGTTTCTTCACTTTATTACATGACATGAAGACGAAATTTATTGGACACATTGACAATGCTCTCCTGAATATTGCAATGTGCTACTTTTGTGCTGAAAGTCCGTTACCATGGCAACAGCGTGCTTAGGATAAGGCTCAAAATTTGTCTTTTTTCGGCCATTTTAAAAATCTCTTCGGGAAATTTTTTTTAGTTTTTCGACTATTGTACACGTCAGTCTACAGGAACGTAGCAAAGCATCTGAAGTTGGGGGGGGTGGGTTGTCGGAGGATTTTACCTGAAATTTGAATTTTTAATAAATATTTACCTAAATTGTAATAATTATAATAAAGCTTCTTGTGATTGACTTGCACTGTCATACTAAGTTTCGGGAGAAAACGGGGGTTTGGGGGTCCTCCCCCAAAAAATTGTTCCATTCCGTGAAGCTCTAGAACTGCAATTCTGGCGTTTTCTAAAGCAAATTCGCAAACAAATTGGATGTAAATTGACTGTATATTTTACAAAAATGGTTATCATTTCACACAAATAATTACTTTATTACGCAAATTTTACCTGAAAATAACAAAATTTTAACTGGGGGAGGGGGGTTACACGTCGCAAACTTTGCACATTTCTTAATACCGTAAACCTCCGACTATAAGCCCTTGGCTTATATACTTTCGTAAGCGATTTTTGATGGGCCTATACAAGGGGGGGGCTTATATACGGGTGGGCTTATATACGGGTGGGCTTATACATGGACGATCTTTTGTGTTAGTAATAAACAAGTCAGACATAAACAAGTCAGTCATAAACAGGGGAAAAAACGTGTATTAAGCAGCGATTACTGGGCTTATTTTAATTGGGGGACTTATATTCGGGGGGCTTACATTCGGGTGGGCTTATATTTGGGGGGGGGGGCTTATATTTGGAATGATGTGAGCGTTAGTACATGTGGTGGGCTTAAACACGGGGGGGGGCTTATATTTGGGGGGCTTATAGTCGGAAGTTTACGGTATCGGCTAAACAAGCTCAATATCCTTTTTTTTTAAAATTTTATTGAAGGGAATAATCTAAGTAACGTTCCATAGAATTTTTTTAAATTGAAGAAAAAATCATTATACCGTATACGATAAAGATCTTTTATGCAAATTTTTAAATTTTTAAAACGGCCGGAAAAAGACAAATTTTGAGCTTAATTATCCTAAGCACGCTGTCACCATGGTAACGAACTTTCAGCGCAAAAGTAGTAAATTGCAATGTTCAGGAGAGCATTGTCAATGTGTCCAATAAATTTCGTCTTCGTGTCATGTAAAGTGAAGAAACAGGACTTCTCTGGATACAAAAGTGCAGTATAATGCAAAAACCCTATGGAGCCACCGTAAAATAGTTTTTATGTACTGTTTAATAAACGAGCAGGAGTGTTTTATTAGGTTTAAAGCCACGAGCGCGCAGCGCGAGTGGCTTTAGACCTAATAAAACGCGACCTGCGAGTTTATTAAACGGCTTCAAACACGACTACAAATTCAATAGAAATACTGCCTTATTAGTATTCTTTATATAAAGAATACTAATTAGGAGTGTTTTATCAGGTTTAAAGCCACTGCACGTGACATATTATGATTGACATGATTTGCCAATAAGCTTATGAATTATTAATGAGTGTTTGAATATTATTTTATGACTTTTAAACACAGAAATCACTCGTGGTCACTCGTGGCCATTCGTGGTCATTCGTGGTCACTCGTGGTCACTCGTGGTCACTCGTAGTCATTCGTGGTCACTCGTGGTCATTCGTGGTCACTCGTGGACACGACCGTAATTTGATAGCTCTAATTGCTTTAAATTAATGGTTGGATAAGAACACATGGTCTTGTACTCATGGGACATGTCAAATTACTACAATACGTTATAGCTAATTTGAATTTGAAAGGGTTCAGTTTTTTTATACACTCTGTATATAGTGCTTATAGCTGATGTTTTACTTCGCTTGAAAACAATTCTTCGCCCAACTGCCTTTCCTTTGAATTTACTGTGAAGTTGTTTAGTAAGAACTGAATACCGAACAACATGGAGCAAAACTTGAATCCATGCAAGGGCGTAAACTTAAAGCCACGTTACTTCGAAAACTAGAGTTGAGCTAGGACATTGTTTTTTTTTTAAATTAATGCATTCGACACATGTCTTAGGCCTGTTTCAAACGTCGCGCTTCTCATGTGCCAAACGCATTAAAAACAATAGATATAGTCAGCTGAAATGCCTCATTATCTATTGTTTCTAATGCGTTCGGCACATGAGAAGCGTGACGTTTTAAACAGGCCTAACATAACAAAAACATGATCAATGATAAAAAGTATTCCATACACATGCTTAAATCCCACTGACATGCCCCTGGTTGCGTTGCATGTTTAAACAATGCCCATGCATAACATATTGTGTATAAAGTATAGTGTACCAGTATTTGGCAGGGAAAAGTACATTTAACCCATGAAATAGCATGCAAAGCGTCGCTCTGGCAAAATGCCATACTATAGTCATGTAGTTGGCAGTTGCCGAACTGTTGATGCCATGTCACCGTGTCAACTACCCTTTAGTCAAGCCAGA